GAATTAAAAAAACATTTTTTGTAAAACTAATACATTTATTGTGCATCGCAAAAATAAATAATTATTTACACATATAAATAAGAATTTTTAAGAATAATTATTTNTTATTTACACATATAAATAAGAATTTTTAAGAATAATTATTTTCATACTTTTTTCCACACGCTTTGTCAATAAATATATTACCTTTATTGAACAAAACCCAGACGCATTTGGGAGACCATCGTGCATATTGGACGCACAACGCTTATTGAACACACATCACTCACTTTACTAGTGCACCGTTTTAAACTACAGTAACAGCAGCAATAGCACAATAGCAGTGACATCAACAATGAGCAGCAACAGCATAGTAGCGGTAACAACAACAATAACGGCAGCAACAGTACAGTAGCGGCAACAACTTCTAAATCAGCAGCGGTGAAACAGCGACCAGCGGGAAAACCCACGGAATTGGTATACACGCACTCACCCCTTAGATCACCCACAAACAACGTGAGTTTTCCGCATTCACTGCGATACGCGGTTTCTTCCCGGCCGTCATTATGTAGACCGGTGGCTTGGCGGGGGGGTATTTGACATGGCCCGCGTCGCTTCGTTATAAACAATGCCCCGCGACTCGTGCCACCTTTATCAGCCGTCGCCCTACTATGAGTATTTGACTGACCAACACCGCGTGTTATACGCTATGGTGCAAAGTCCGGCATATGCCGCACGGCCGACGACGACCCACCGCAAATGATGCGAGAGTCTTCCTCCCGTTGTGAAAGCGACAACGTCGACCAACTGATCCGCACCAGCGCACCGTCGCCTACAACGCTGCTAACCATTTTGCCGTCCAAGGATTACGCCGGACATCGCGTCGTCGACGCCAGCGAAAGTGCCGCGATATTATGCGAAGATTATTATTACTGTGTTTATCTTATCGGTTTGTTTTATTTTTGTTAAAATAATCTGTTGTCGCTCATTTAATAAACGGCCTACGGGTCTCTACCCTCAAAACCAGTGTCTACCAAATTTTTGCGACGTAATTCGTGTCATATTTTCTTATTGTAGGCACTTTCATCAATGACAAATCTATCAAAGACTCTTTTTCATTGTTTGGTAGTGTTCTAGGAAAATTAACCAAATCCAAAATGAATGGGTTTCTTACCAAAAAAATTCAGAATTATCTTGTTTAAAATATTCATCACACGTTGTTTTTAGCATTTTACAATGTTGTTTTATCAGTTGTGCAAAAGAGTGGTGGTATTTGACGAGGTTGTAAGACACAAAATTAAGTGCAGGTGGTTGAAGTGGAGGAAGCGTCTGGCGTCTTATGCGATAAAAAAATTCCACTGAGGCTGAAAGGTAAATTCTACAAGACTATAATAAGGCCAGCTATAATGTGTGGTTCAGAGTGTTGGGCGGTTGATAAGAAAGTAGAGTAAAAAATGAATGTAGTAGAAATGAGAATGCTTAGATGGATGAATGGAGTGACTAGAAATGATAGAATAAGGACTGAGCATATAAGAGGGAGTATAGGTGTAGCGTCAATCATGGATAAGATGAGGGAAAATAGACTTAGATGGTTTGGTCATGTTATGAGGAGAGAAGAATCGGAAGCTGTAAGAACAGTTATAGAAATGAATGTTGAAGGAAGAAAAAGTAGAGGAAAACCAAAAAAGAGATCGAGGGATGCTATTGAATGCCATTTGAGGACAGCTGATATGAGCGTAAATGATGTGGGAGATCGTGTGAAGTGGAAGTTTAGGATAAGGGTTGCAGACCCCAAGTAGCTAGAATTAAGGCGAGGAAGAAGAAGAAGAAGACCAGTTTCAGTGTGAGACACTATATTTTTTTAAGTATGTGGAATTTTATATATATTAAAAAGTAAACTTTTTTTATAAATGAGCGCCTAAAGAATCTACTTTATTTTTTAAACAAAATTAGATCGTCGATTTTGCTACATTCTTCAATGAAACTGGTGATATCCCTAAAGTACTGCAGGGTGTATTCACAATATTAAGATAATTTTCTAAACTACTATAAAATCAATTACTGCAACTACTCATATTTAAATTAACAGTAGTTTATGTAATATTTTAAAACACGCCTTGCTTTGGAATTATTTTAAAATTTAGTTATTGTAAAATATTAATATTCAAAAACCATAATAATTTTTAATTATTCTAATAGAACACTCAATTTTTTATTATTAAATAAATGATTTTGAGAAAATAAAAAAATAATTGAATTACACAATGTGTTATGTATACAAGGAGTATTTTTTTTCAAATATTTTATCAATAAAAAATATATTACTTAAATAACTAAAAAAAAAAAAAATTTTTATTTAAGGACATCGAAGTTATACGGGTATAATATTCATAGTTTTTAGCCGTTTTATCTATACAAAGAGTATTTTGTTTTTTTTCAAATATTTTATCAATATAAAATATATAACTTAAATAACTAAAAAAAGAAAATTTTTTTTAAAATTTACAAAATTTAAATATAATTTTTTTTTATTGGTTATTAATAAAAAAAGTTTTATTTGGAATAAATACTCTTAAAATCCTACTAAATTATGGTTCTGTTCAATGGCAAGAAATTACCTCATAATATTGTAATTATCTAGAAGTGATTATACCTATTGTAAAATGTTAGCCCAAATTTTTGTATGATCTAATTGAGAAAATTACGGATCGATAATAATCATTGAACCAGTGTTTTGGAAGTTATGAACATGTTATAGAGTTGACTGGTGGTGTTTTTTTTATTAATAGTCAGTTATAATCCGCACTCTTCCTCTCACCATAATAAAAATTGTTCATAACTTATGAAATACTAGTTCAAAATTTGTTATTGTTTGTCATTTTTAAAATTTTATGATTAATATATTGAAAAACCTGTATCTAAAAGAAAAAAAAAATATGATTTTTTATATTTCATTTTATTAAATGGATTATAATAAATTCATCACTTTTTATCAATAAACAAAATAACAAAATTTTCTATTAAACAATTTTAACAAAATTTTGGAACAAATTACTATTACAGTGGTAACATTGTTGTTTTTATATTGTTCTAGGATTTGTATTGTATTTTTTTTTGTTATTATTAATGTAAAAGTATAAGTAACGCAAATTTTTTTAATATACTAATAATAATATTGCTAATAATAATGAATTCTGTTTTTTTATTAAATATTTAAAACATGCATTTAAATTAAATTAACACAATTATTGTATATGTTAATGGAACTATGAGAAAAATTTAGCACAATAAAATTAATTTAAAGATACTTATTAAATGGTTCCATACCCTTAGGATATTCAATTAGTTCGACTGAATCATCTTTCAATTCACAATTGACATCTAATTTTAAAATAAAAATTAATTATTAAAAAAAGAGTTGTGATATCATGTTCTATATTGAATGAATAAAACAATAGCACATTATTTTATAACTGTAGTGACATAGTTCAAAAAAAAAAAATGTCGATTTTTTACGAATAATGCGAAATTTAAACTTTTAAACATTTTGATTTCGCGAGGGGGGTAAACGATAATTTTATTTATAACTAATAAAAAAATTATCTACAGAACTAATTATTTTTCTATGAAAAATTGAACTTAATTATCAATTATAGACATATTATAAAATATCATTGTAAATATTCTTTATTTTATGTTTTGTGTACTGCCCAGCTAATAGACTACAATAAAAAATAAAACAAAACATTTAACTGTGCTATTTTGTATTTTATAAGAGTAAAGAATATAATATGTTATATATTATATAATGATTAAAAAGTAAGGAAAAGTGTATTTATTCTATTTTTTTATAACAAATCTCCTGCCTTATTAAATATTATAGATTTTTTTTTACTTATTTTATTTTCTACAACCAGTTCATATAATTAAAGCGTTTTATAACTATAATGTATTGAATATAAATTTTAATTATTTTGAACTTCGTATATATCGCTAAAAAAATATTGTAGTTTTCCATATATTATGAACAAAGTATTATGGATGATTATATTGTTTCCTAATTCTAATAACATATTATAAAAGAATAAAAGTATTTTAATAGATCATAAAATCATTACTTTCTTGTCTAATGTCTTCCTGTTTCTCTACATTATTGGTATGTAGAATCGAAGGATATTTTGTAATATCTAAACATATTAAAATGGTTTTTAGGTCAATTTAAAACTTATTTAGATTAAAATATAATGGTACTGTAAAGTTTTGGGGAAACTTTAAAATTTTGCTGAGTTGCGGGGTCGCAGCACAGTATGAACTTGGGATAGTTAAGTCAAGTGTAGATGATATCTAGCAGTAACGCTCATTTTTTGAATATACTAATAATAATTAATTGTGTTTTTTTATTAAATATTGAAAACTTGCATTTAAATTAAATTTACACAATTATTGTATATGGTAATGGTAATAAGAAAATTAATTTAAATGTATTTATTAAATGGTTCCATACCCTCAGGATATTCAATTAGTAAGACTGAATCATCTCTAAAGTCACAATTGACATCTAATTTTAAACAAAAATAAATTATTAAAAAAAAGAGTGGTGATATCATGTTTCGTATTTATTGAATAAAACAATAGTACATAATTTTATAACCTAAGTGACAATGTTAAAAAAAAATTTCTATTTTGTACAGATAATGCGAAGTTTTCGCGAGGGTGGTAAACGATGACAATAACTATGAGAAAAAAATGAAGAAAAAAACCTTTTTCATTATTATAGTTCTAATTTATACATATTTTATTGTCTACAACCAGTTCATAGAATTAAAGCATTTATAATAATAATGTATAGAATAATAATTATTCTATTATTTTAAAACTATTTTAACTTTCGTTCAAATCGCTGAGTACATTTTGTGGTTTTCCATAAAATATGACACAACGTATTATGAATGAGTATATTGATTCCTAATTCTTTTAGCTCAAAAAAATAAAAGTATTATAGTGTATTGCAAAATTATTACTTTCTTGTTGAATGCTTTCTTTTTTCTCTACAACATTCGTATTTAGTAAAGAAGGATATTTTGTAAGATCTAGACATATTAAAATGGTTGTTAGATCAATTTAAATTTATTTAGATTAAAAAATAGTGTAGTATCAAGTATTAGGGGAACTTTACCATGTTGCTGAATTTCTTCTTGCGCATTTACTTCATTGATGTTTTGTATAAAATTTATTGTACAATTTTGTGCGATACCTAAATATGTTAAAAACAAAATAATTTCTAATAAATGTAATATTGCATAAATATTTGTACTTTGCTTGAAATCGGTANCATAAATATTTATACTTTGCTCGAAATCGGTAAGACGTAGACTAGGTAAAATAGTCTGACTTGTGTAATAATGTTGTTGATTCTCTTCTTGCGCATTTACTTCATTGGTATTTTGTACAAAATTTATTGTAAACTTTTGTGCGATATCTAAATATATTAACAACAAATTATTTCAAATAAATGTAACATTACATAAATAGTTATACCTTGCTTGACATTGGTAGGTGGTAGAGCAGGTAAAAAAGTCTGACTTGTGTTCCAGTCATATTTAAATCCAAGTTCAATATACTTTTTCATGATTGTCGTTAGGATTAAATTTCTAATTTTATCACTAAGAAAAATGAAAAATTCACGGTATTTTCCTTGATATTTTAAGTTATTAAATTCCATATTCCATATATTGCACAATGAATTAAAATCTAAATATTTTAGTTGACAATATAACTTATCTTCATCAAGTTTAAGAAGCCATGCGTATGATATTTTCGCAATAGTATCTAATACATCTCTAATTGAATTCGAACTGATTCTTAACGTAGTCAATAAAGTTTCATTTTGCTGTATATTTGTTAGTATACCACTTAAAATAAAACGGGTTCTTTTGAGGGTGTTCAAGGGATTATTATGATATTTATCTATTGCATATAACGCTCCTTTCATATATTTTGCCATGGGAACCATTTTAATCATTTTTGTTAAAAGTATTACTATACAATTGTGCACACTATCATCGCCAGAAATTAATAGACCAGAACAAGTTTCTTGTAATTTAATTAATGATAAAAATATTAAATTTAAATCATGATAGTAAGAACATCCAAGGAATATTGTTGCTTGCCGTATGAAATTATCACAATTATGTATTGTTACAGGTTCAATAAATAAATCTTTCAGTTCATATTTTTTTTTCCAATAAGTAATAAATTCGACATCATTTAAATTTTTCCATCCTGGTTGACGTAGAAAATTATTAATGATAGTCGCGTTTTCTGTTTTATTAATTAATCCTTCAATATGTAAAAAAGCGAAAAACATACATAAGTACACATGAATATTTAGTATTATTGCCATTTTCATTTTCGTAAGTTATCTATCTATTTTTTTATATCTATCTTCTTTTTAAAAACCGAATAGTTGTACAAAATAGATTTCAAACTAATTATGATATTAATAAAGTTTTTTATTTCCATACTAAAATTAAAAATTAGCAAATAAGCCGAGTATACAGGTGCAAATTATATTTGTATGTGACATTGGGAGGAGGTGTAGGATTGTTACGTTTTTAACATTGCGTGATTAAAACACAAAAACACCAAAAAATTTGAAAATTGATATTGTTTCTTTTGGAAATTTTAGATGGTTTACTTAGTTTCTTTTTAAATATGTTTTTTTAACACTGAAAAGGGGTATTTTTTTGTTAACTTTATGTGAGAGATAGTAGATTTGTATAATTTCTATTAACTATTTGGATTTTTTTGGAGTAAATAGTGTTTTAAACCTAGGAGTGCTCCATTTCCAATAATAAAAAAGGAATTTTTCCCACCAAGCTCGAAATAATATGTTCAATCTTATTTTTATCTATTAATTGATGATCCCAACCTATGTGAATTTGGAAATAATTAATTTTATTAATACTCATAATATGACTAGTAATACAATTGACACGGCATCGCCTTTTGCTCTAGGCCGGCGCTCACCCGTGTCTCTCTCGATATCAGCCGTTCAGCTATTAATATGACAATCGGTTGTCATCGGTCGTCTCCCCGCCCTTGACACTGAGATAAGGCCGCCGCCGAATATGGATTACCGATATTGCGCCCTGTTCCGTTTTCGACGTACACCTCAACTGGTCGTTCTTATTTTTTTTTGTTTTTTGTGATCCTCTGTGTTCTATTGATTGGATTACGAAATAACTCGATGACAATAGTGATTTAAATTGGAGTATATTAATTAATATTTAACTATTAATCATTATATATATATATATAATCGCGTACACTTGTGCGGTTGTACCATTTGTGGATTACGAAATAACTCGATGACGATAGTGATTTAAATTGGAGTATATTAATTAAGATTTAACTATTACTCATTATATATATATATAATCGCGTACACTTGTGCGGTTGTACCATTTGTGGATTACGCAATACAATATATTAAATATAATAGTATTAGAAAAAAATACTTTTTATCAAGAAACAATAATTGTCATAATAACAAGTTTGAATTATTCAAACTTGAATCAGTATTTTATTTAGTTTATTTATTACCTAATGATGAACAAATAGCATAAAAATAAATTGTAGCTAAATTAAACAAAAATTTTTAATACTTTTTTATTAAAAAAAATAATCAGTTATGCAATGTCTCTATCTGTTTATGTGCATATAAATAAATGTGACAAAAATTTATACATATATTATAATGCCATAAATTTGATAAATTTTCGTCTTCCGATTTTTTTATTCTAATCAGTAAAAATTAACTCAATAAAATTTGTGACAAATCCAATAACGTTAAAATATGACAACTTACGGTCAAAGTTTGACTTAGACAGATTTTATTTTTTAGAAAATTATTTACTATATTCAATAATTAATAATATATGATTGTGTTGAAGCTTTAGTGGATTGTCATATTGTTCGAAATGTTTATGTAACTACACTATATAGTTACAACCACGATCCTGTAACTATCGCTCTGAAGGAAATACTTGCCCTCCAGAATATACGTAATCCTACAAATGTGGTTCTTTAAAAAGAATGTATGGGTATATTAGATATCTAAATTAAAACAATATTATTATACGTTATATTTATAAAAAATTTCAGTTGTTATCATTATTTAACAGGAAATTTTTATGTTAGTACATTCTTTCCTGCAGTATATAAGGTGTTTAGTCAGTAATGAAACGGGTTTTATTGTTCTTATGGTATGTAACAATTGATTTGTTTCCTTACTTACTGAACACTCTGTATATTTTAAAAATGTTTTTTTAAACTAACAGGTTTAATCCTTTCATTGTTCCAATGTCGTCAATTTAAATCATTGAAAAATACATTATATCAATAGATATAAAGCATAAGCAAGTCATACTAGTAATAGGCATTAGATAATTAATTAAACAATCGGTAATTGAAGACTTCAAAATTCAGATAATTAGTAAGAATTTGACACGGCACCCCCCGTCGCTCTAGACTGGCGCTCACCCGTGTCTCTCGCGATATCAGCCGTCCAGCTATTAATATGACAATCGGTTGTCTCCCCGCCCTTGACGCCGAGATAAGGCCGAGTATGGATTACGGATATTGCGCTCTGTTCCGTTTACGATGTGCACCTAACTGCTTACTCGAATCCGTGGCTGTGTTTTCTTTTTCTGCCTTTTGGTTGGTTTTCTTTATGTAACATTTTAGTCGACTGTTACGCGTCATCCATCAGTGTTAGTGAAATATTAGCAAACGCTAAAGTGAACTAAATATATCTTGACACACACATATTAATATTACTTATCGGGTACATTTTGTGTACACGCCCAAACGTATACTGGATACGCGTCAAGTGGCTCCCCGAAAGGAATCTCAACCGACCGAGAGAAGTTAAGGTAAGAGGCTTTGAGCCGTTTCAGTTTTATTTCTAATTATATTAGATTTTAGCTTTAACTTGAAACGGTGAAGTCTTCCTTACAAATTTGATATTTCATATAGTTATTTAAACGGATTTCACTGGTGACAGCAGTGAATTTTTATCTGGGTTATTCACAGTTACGTGTTAGCGGGATTAGATTTAGCCTTGTTTCTGGGAAAATTTTCTTTTATAAAAATAAAGTTAGAGCAGTTTATCTAATATTAATCCACCGTAAGTATTATCGTTTAAAGCGTTGGTTACAGTTTGTTATAAAGACCTTATTGATATCAACAAGAAGTGAATTTCCGGCCGATAGTTACAGTCTTTTGGTAGATAAAAATAGTATATTTTCGTCTGACCTTGTCAAAGCGGCCGATTCCCAGGGAACCGTTATTATTATTGTTCATTCGCTGCCATTACATATACGGCGGCCCCGGACCATCTTATGCGGTGATTATTATAACAATAGCAATAATAATAATACTTGTTTTCTACAGCAGTAGTAAATTTGACCGTACACGAAGATATTGTTTATCTCCGCTATTATAGTAACATACATTTGATTATTTAGTTTTGTAAACAAACATAATAATCGGGGTCAATATGTCGGGGAAAACATTAGCACAAATGAATTGCGCTGAATTACGTCACGAATGCGCTTTTAGACAGCTACCATGCTACGCGACGAAACCCAACATGCTAGTGATGCTGGAGGAAACATACGTAGCGAAGGGAGGAATCCAGCTACTGAAATTTTACCGCCCCGTACGCCGCTCGATAGCGAAATTCCTGTCGCTAGCGCACGCGGAAGAACAAGTCGGGCGTGATCCGACAGAACATTCGCGACATTTCGAATAACGCGCGGATCGAGGCACGGATGACTGAATTAGAAAGGTCGCTCTCGCGTATGTCAATGGAACAGTGACAGATTTCAAACATGTTGGAGTGAATCAGTCAAAATATGCTGCCGTCCCCACATGTTGCTGTACAACCGACTATTCGTCAAGCTAACGTAGAGCGAAATGATAGTCGACGATCGGACGTCGGTCTTTCAATGATTTGTCGCCTACACGCAGCTCGCGGTCTGTATTGGTACCTTACCACGACCTACGCACCGTACGCGTCTGCTTACCTGAATATTACCTGAGGACCCACGGGAGTTTCTAGACAGAGCGGAGGATCTACTTTGTCAGGGCGGTATACACCCAACCGCGTGGGTGAACATCGTCGTCCCGTTTCTGAACGACAGGGCAAGTGATTGGTGGCGAGCAATTAAATTAAATAATATGCCATGGGTGGAATTTAGGTCCGAATTACTCGAGGAGTTCGACAATATCGATATCAGGACTGCGCTCGAGACGGACTTAAAAACGACGCGACAGGGCCTCTGACAAACGTTACTTTATTATGCAAAAAAAAAAAAATTCGGACTTTATTTTAACTTCACCGTGAAAATGGCTACTGAATGCTATTATTGTGTGAAGATTCTCGATTTTATTTTTTACATTTTTAACTTTATAATGCTATGACATATTGAAAAGTGTATGGATCAACATTATTTTTTTATGAGAAATAATATTTTTTAATAATCCCTTTTTCATTCGACATACTTTATCTTAATTAGGATATTAATAAGGAACTAGCAGAACATGTAGCTTTTGGAATAATCCACCAATTTTTTAAAATTAAACACTATCTAAAGATTTGCATCGAAGCGTTTTTTTTTGATAGTGATTTTAATCACTGTCAGATATCATTATACTTCATCCATCTATGCCACGTCAACCACTGTGCCGCGACCCCCCTGTGCTGGGTTTTTTTTACTTGTTTGTTTTCTTTTATCAATTTTGTATTCGGTACCGTATGGTGAATATACATTCCATTTCCTACTTTAACACCGGTCCGACCCCTACGGTTGAATTCACTGGCAACCTTTACAACATTTGCGGCACCACCGGCCAATGCTCCTAGTGCCGACAGCCCGGCAAAAATAGGAATTAATGATAACACTCCTCCGCTTTTCGGGATATTTATTATGCGAGGTACGTGCATGCGACTCGTCTTGATCTTGCGTTTGGCTGCAAGCAGTGCTTTTTGTGCTGTAATTTGTAAATTTGGCACAACTTTTTAATTTTTTTTTTTATTTTGAATCCCATACCAAGTTTGCGTTTCAACTTCATCGCATTTGTCACACCCCAAGCCACTGCACGTTCTGATAAATTCACGTCCTTGGCACGCACTCGTT